GAACATTTTCCTTTGTGCTTTTTGAATGTTATCCTGGACAGTTTGATTATTGAAAGTTTTCTGTTTTACACTACTCTTTCTAGTGGAGACTAACAGATTTAGATAATGCTTTCCTATGTTCTTGACTTTGGTTCTCAGAAAAGTAATATTAATTTTATTAACTCTTCATATATTACTGTTTTCATCTAACACTGGAACATTTTATAATTTGGTTCATTTCAAAAATATGGGACAATTATTACTGATTATTTTTAGACTTTGATATCATTAATTTTATATTCAGGGTTTAACTTAAGATATTTTATCAGAAAACTAAAGTGATGAAACGGTTTATTAGTTAAACTTTCAGCTTTTTGCTTTTTAATTTTTAATTTTTTAAAAGCTTTTATTATATATATTTGTGTTTTGTTATGGGTGTTGGGTCTATTGGAAGTGGAGTTACAGACAGTTGTGAGCTGCCATGTCGGTGCTGGGAATTGAACCAGGGTCCTCTGGAAGAGTAGTCAGTGCTCTTAATCACTGAGCCATCTCTCCAGCCCAAACTTTCAGTTTTTATACTGTTCTCTAGGAATTGAAACAAACAGTAATTTAAATTACTGGTTTTTTTAAATATTTATTATGTATACAATATTCTGTCTGCACGTATGCCTGCAGGCCAGAAGAGGGCACTAGACCTCATTACATATGGTTGTGAGCCACCATGTGGTTGCTAGGAATTGAACTCAGGACCTTTGGAAGAGCAGGCAATGCTCCTAACTGCTGAGCCATCTCTCCAGCTCCCCTGTTTCTTTTTTTTAGGTGCAGTATAATTTTCTTAGTTTACATATGAGGTTGTTTTGTTTTAAGGCAGGGTGTTATGTGGCCTTGCCTTGACTGAACTCTGTGTGTAGCTTTGAAGTACAGAGATCCGCTTGCCTGTCTCTTGAGTGCTGAGACCACACCTGCCATAGGTAATTGTCTACACACACATACAAAAAAAAAATGTGAAGTATTATTTAAGTCATTGATTTATGTATGGTCTGAGACAAAGACGGAAAATAGGAGGAATTTGTATAAATTGTTATGTTGCTTCAGGTTTTTGGTCCCTTTTTTGTTTGAAGACGTTGGGCCAAAAGTAGTTCTGTATATGTCATACCTTTAAGAGGCACTCCTGCAGTTCTGTAGGATACGTCATGCCTTTACAGGCACTCCTGCAGTTTAGTTTGTCTTATTTTGGGTCTCTATATAATTTATGGTTGACTTCGTTTATAAGAGCATCTAGAGATGTTACTATTTCTAGGATTATCTAAAGAAAAAATCTTGGTAATATACGATTGTGTTTGCTGTACATTTTCCAGATTGTACCACCTGTGAATTTAGTGAGATACTTTTCTGTGTGCTTAACTTGATAGTAATTAGCTCTTGTAAGAGAGAACCACTCATGATGGCTGGATCTTTCCACATCAGCCATTAAGAAAATGTCCTTCAAGCTTGCTTATAGGACAGTCTTAAAGAGGCATTTTCTGGATTAAGATATCCTCATTCCACATATGTCTAGGTTTCTGTCAAGGTCACAAAACCAAGTTGAGGTATTTTCTCAGCTGTGTGTCCTCTTTTCAGATGACCGTATCTAGTTTCTCCAAGTTGTTAAAAAAAAAAAAACTAACACAATATATAAATAACATCTATCATAATCCCTTCTTGTTAAGTTTTATAAAAATGATAAAACATTAATGAAACATGTTTTTCATCCATCCTTATTGTATGTAAGGGTTATGTATCATGCGTTTGAATGTAGTTCTATTTACTTTGCTTAATACTGTATATGATCCTAGAATGGAATAATGCCCACAGAATTTACATGTGTAATAAAATAAAGCTTTTATTTTCTGAAAAATTTAAGAAATATTTAAAAAAAAGCCAAATGTGGTAGAAATCAAATTTATCTCTATGAAAAATTCTTATATTCTTTGTGCTTTATAAGTAATTATGCAACATTTATAGAAAATAGCTTTTATTATTATTATTATTATTATTATTATTATTATTATTATCATTATTATTATTATTAGAATTGGGCTTCCAACTGGATTGCCAGATGATACAGAGAACATCAGGACCGCCCCTTGGATTCTTGGTGTCAGTAATTAAAAAAAAAATTAGGAATGAACTTAAAGGGAAGCGCAAGGCATTTTTATTAGAATTTAAAGAAAAAAAAAATCCGTGCTGGAGCGATGGCTCAGTGGATAAGAGCTTTGCCTGCTCTTCCTGAGGTCCTGCTTTCAATCTCCAGCAACCTCATGGTGGCTCACAACCATCTGCAGTGAGATTTGGTGCCCTCTTCTGGCCTGCAGGGATACATGCAGGCAGAATACTGTATTCATAATAAATAATGGGCAAGCTGTATATCCTCAGTAGGTGCAGGGAAGGGAAGAAAAGAAGTCACACCATGGAGGTCAGACATGTACCAAGCAGCCACGTGGCAGGGAGGGGAATTTTAGGAAAAGAGTAAGGAAATCCAAAGTATTAGGAAAGCATATTTACATTCTGGGCCAAACCCAAAAGAAAAAGAAAAGAAAGTAGAAAAATTGTACCTTTCTAACTCAGGCCTCAGGGAAGTAGGCAAACTGGTCAAACTTCATGGTAGCTTATAGTGACTGCAAGGGGCAGGGAGCAGGAATTCTGGGGAGAGTCTAGTATCTCGTTTAAACAAAGTTTATTGCATCTATCTATCTTTTTAACATGGCTTAAGTTGAGCCTGTCTTTGTAGGTGTGGTCAGGTGATTGACTTAGCCCAACTGGAATGTTAGGTCTCCACCTAGGCTAGAGATTTTGTTCTCTTGACAAGACGGATTTTTTTTTTTCTACCTTAAGATTGTAACTCTAGGGCTGGAGAGATGGCTCAGAGGTTAAGAGCACTGGCTGCTCTTCCAGAGGTCCTGAGTTCAATTCCCAGCAACCACATGGTGGCTCACAACCATCTGTAATGGGGTCTGGTGCCCTCTTCTGGCGTGCGGGCATATATCGAGGCAGAATGTTGTATACATAATAAATAAATAAATCTTTAAAAAAAAAGATTGTAACTCTAAATAACATAATATGCTGAAATTAGAATTGTAGAGTTCACCTGGAGACTGGGGATAAATAACCAATGAAGAAAGCTTGCCCTCTACTCCTTTAAGTAGAAGGAAAACTGACATAAGAAATTTTGATTGTGGTCTTATAAAGCTAGCTTTGATTTCTTGGTGCAGGATGGAATACTACTATGCTTTATTTTTGATATGCAAAAATTTTACACCTCCTAAAAGTAACTCTTATATTTGGAATACTATTCTTAACTTAGAAATAGGCACAGATTTGAATACTTGGTTTAAGGGCATATGTGAGAAAGAACAAAGAAAAATGAACAGAGAACCAATTGTAGAGCTGAGAATGCAGTCTCATTCTCAATGTGATTTATTGAGTGGTGGGGATCTTACATGGCATGTGCCAGGTTATTGACAAAATAAAAAATTAAATCAACTAACTATATGTATTTGTGATAAGGATAACATATAGATTCTTAATTAGACTCGTGACGTTTTCATTTGCTGTTGTTTGATCTGAAGTGGATTTTATCTTCTGTCTGCTATCAAAGCAGTAAGTTTTGTATTGGATGCCTTGAATAAAGTTATTATCAGGGCTTTTTGTCATCTGCTTCATACTTAGCACATTAGAAGTGGTTTATGATTGATTTCATCACTATTGGTGATTGTGCTGTCATTATGAAGTCAGTCACATTTTTGTTTTAGTTGGCATGGTTCTATAATTTATCTAGTACTTTTAAGAGCAAAAGGGAGTGGCAGTAATTGCTTCAGAACAGATATGTATTTACCTATTAGGATGTGTTGATGGCAAGTAACAGAAGAAAAACTTAACTTGCAGCAGTCAGGAAAGCATACTGTTTGTGGGTGCTGCACGTGTGATTTATTGAGAAATCTGCCTTTTGTCTTTTCTAGACTGCCTTATGAGGTCAGCTTTCCTTGTCGTTGGGTGGCTATGTGGAACTATCTGGGCTATACTCTTGTTTATGATCAGCAGGAAAGAGGATCCTACTTCTTACAAACAGAATGAGTCTTGAGCATTGTCTTAACTAATGCCAGTGTCAAGGAGAAAATCATATGCTATTAGTCTTGAGATATCTGAGTATTACTCAAATGGAGGGATGGAATTACATAACTCTTAGACTATTTGGAGTTCTATTAAGGAAACTAGTTGTAAGATCAGCTTTTCTAGGAAAGCAGTGCAGCTTGACACAGCAGAAGGGAGTTGGAGAGCAACAGTGTTTTCTGCAGTCTATTTGCATTTTCCCCATAGGCATCTGTTAAAAGAGTTTCTCAAAGCCTAGTACTGTAGTGTTTTTCTTCAAGTGAGAACGTTGTAGTATAAGATGATTTAACTAGCTTGGTGGTTTGGTTAAAGATTACACCAAGACAGATTACTGGGTGTGGAGGGATGGTAAGACATTTCTTAGAAGAGTTATTATAATGCCATGGACAGAGGGACAAAAGCATGGTTGAGGCTTTGAGGTGAGTTCCAGCCACAGCACCAGAGAAGTATGGGAATATCTCTGAAGAGAATAAGAGCCCACTTGACAGAGGAGGGAGATTTTTCTTATACCTTTTGAGGATGGGGAGGTTCACCAGAGGCTGCAGACAGATTCTTAAGATTTGCAAGCAGGAAACAGGGAAGGAGAGAAAAAGAAAGCTTAGCGCGTTTTCTTTTTTTGGTACTATATTTTAATTTTGACTAATTTCCTCAAATCATTATAATAATAATAATCGTAACTTTAAAAAAAGCTGTGTGTGTGTGTGTGTGTGTGTGTGTGTGTGTGTGTGTGTTGGGGGAGCGTGCCAGATGACAACTTTCCAAAGTTAGTGGTCTACTTCTACCATGGGTTTCTGGGCTTGAACTCGATATCATTAAGATTTCGCAGAAGGCACTCTTGCCAGCCCTAACTATAATAATTTTTTTTCCCACAGACTAATAGGGATGCCAAAGGAAAAATATGATCCTCCAGATCCTCGCAGAATTTATACCATCATGTCAGCAGAGGAGGTAGCCAATGGGAAGAAATCTCACTGGGCAGAATTAGAAATCTCGGGTGAGTGGAATCTGCAGCATTTTGTGTGAGATATAATAGCAATAATTGGCAAGGGTATTGCTTTATTTATAGGCTCTTTGTTGTCTTTAAACTGAATGAACTAATTGGAAACATGTAAGAATCCTGAGGTACTTAGTGTTTTTTTGATCTTTCTAGATACTTTCCCTTTCTTTTGAGATTGTCTTGATCAAGAACAACTATCTGCAGTTAAAGATTTTCAGAATTTAGTTTCTGGGTAAAATTAGGTTCTATAATATAATAAATTTTGTGTTGGCTTTTCTAGAGTAAGTTTTTGCAAATTAAAATCTTTGCCATCCTTCTCTTAGCTCAGTGCTGGCAAAGAAGGAACCCTGAACTCTGTGTAGCAATACCTGCTAGTTGTGAATAGGGCATGTTCAGAATTAGTTGAAGTAGAATATGATTTGAAAAATTGTCACCCCTGATGTGGGATGTCCTTCTGTATATGTGTTGCTTTTATTGGTTGATGAATAAAGCTGTTTCTGCCGATGACTTAGAGTAAAGCCAGGTGGGAAATCCGAATAGAGAGAGTAGGCAGAGTCAGAGAAACACCATGTAGCTGCCGAACAAGAGGTATGACTGGAACCTTACTAGGAAGCTACAGCCTCGTGGTGATACACAGATTAATAGAAATGGGTTAATTTAAGATGTAAGAGCTAGCTAGAAATATGCCTAAGCCATTGGCCAGTGTTGTAATTAATACAGTTTTTGTGTGATTATTTGGGTCTGGGCGGCCAGTAAATGAATGAGTAGCTTCCGTTTACAAAACTGAGTCTGAAAATGAGAAAAACGTCAAATTAAAACTGAAAGACATTGTATAAAATACCCAACTGATACACTTGATGGTTATCAAGATTGTGAAAAATAACAAAAAGACAGAAAGTACCTTAAGTCAGAGAAGGGTTAAAGAGACATATTTAAAATAACCTGAATTGAATTAGAGAACCAAAAGATACAAAAACTGGTAAATTCCAAATAAAGCCTGAGTTTAGTTACTATTACTGTATCAGTGTTGGCTTCTTTCTTGTGATATATATGCCATTGACTGTGAGACTCTAATGTTAGGGAATTTAAGCAAAATACATATAAGAACCCCAAGCCATATAAGTACTTATCAGTACATATAAGAAGCCAAAAGTTGGCTTTTACCCAGTAAATACCCAGGGTCCTCCTTCAGTTTATCAACCTAAAATGTCAGTCCTTTGAGAAGCAAACTCCTTCCCAAGATCTGTGTTAAACCCTAAATTAACAACTTTTTCTTTTACTCATAGCCTCAGCATTGAATACTTTGTTTTTGCACTAAAATGATGTAAAATCCTAGTTGATACTTTGTATTTGAATAAATAGGAAAGAGTTTGTGGTAGAATAGAAATAAACATTGGGTTTTATTATATAAAAATAACATTTTTCCATTTCAGAGTTTGTGTACTCTGTATTCTGTTGCCATCTCTCATCTAAATCTTTTTTTAAAGTGATAAATATAATTAATTATTTTATGAGTCTGGAGAGATGGCTTGGCTATTAAGAGCACATAGTCCTCTTCTAAAGGACACAAGTTTGGTTCCCAGCACCCACATCAGGTGGCTTACAAGCGCCTCTAACTTCAGCTCCTGGGGAATCTAACAACTCTGGCCTCTGAAAGCACCTGTAGCCATGGGCACATAGCCACACAAACATATATACTCACTTAACTAAAAGCAAAACAAATCTTAAAGACGATTGCTTTGCTTTTATAAAATTTATGAAATAATCTATATAAATTATTCTTTATTTGGCCTGGGATGTGTCTCAGCTGGTAGAGTGTTTGCCTAGCATTCATAAACCCTTGACTTAGGATCAGTTCCCACTACCAAATAAACTGAGTATGGTGCGCAGGCCTGTAATCCTGTCACTTGGGACACAGAGGCAAGGAGATTAAGAAGTTTAAGGTCCATTCTCAGCTACATAGATGGCAAGTTAGAGGCCATTTGGGGTTACATTAGAGGACTCCATCATAAAACAAAACATTGAACAACTGAGGAGATAAGATAACATCCCGTTTTTTAAACCCCGAGGCTAGGTGATTTGTCCAGACCTGTATTGTTAATAAGTGGTAAAAATCTGAACTCTAAAACAGGTCTTATTTAATGCATGCTTTATGCCCAGTTGTTCATAGGCATTGATGTGAAACTTATTTCCTTGAATATGTTTCCCTTAATGTCAAATTTTAAACTACGGTTATTAATTTCTAACTTAACATCAGAAACCTGGGAAAGATGTTTTCTTTGAGGATACAATGATTTTCTTGATGGCTAATCTAAGGTTGGTTCTAAAAATCATTGTTTATTTAAAATTTGCTGACCAATCTAGGTCCTGGATATCTTATGCTCATAATTTTCATGGAGTGTGTGAAGACTGTTAGGACTGTTTAATAAAATGAAAGCTGATGCCTATTCTATCACCAGAGTTCAATTCAGCCTTGTTTTATCCTTCAGACCTGGCTTTGGGAGAGGTTTCAGTCAACATCAGTCACTCTCATTCTCTCTCTGTCTGTCTTTTGCTGTTTATCTGTCTCTTGCTCTGTTTCTTCCTTCCCTCTCTCTATTCCTTGAAAATGGAGTTGAATGAAAGGAGGCTAGATGTTGTAGCAATCATAGCTTCAGATAGAAAGTTAATGTCAAAGATAATATCCCTGTGAGTATTTGCCATCTTTTCTAGTACTTACCAGTTCTTGGGATTCAACTTTTGTATTGAGTCTAGAGTTTATGCTTTAGTATTTTGCCTTTTAGGTAGAGTGCGGAGCTTAAGTACATCACTTTGGTCACTGACACACTTGACAGCGCTGCACCTAAATGACAATAACCTTGCTCGCATTCCACCTGATATTGCCAAGCTTCATAATCTGGTTTACCTGGATCTGTCATCCAATAAACTCAGAAGTTTACCAGCAGAACTAGGAAACATGGTGTCTCTCAGGTGAGGAAACATTAAAGATATGATTCATTATATAAAATTACAATTTACCAAATAAGAAAGTTATGGGATGTTATTTTATGGTAGGATTTCCGTGTCTGTGAAGATCAAAAGATAGGAATTTAATCTTTCTTTTCCTTTGCATTGTAGGTTCTTGCTACTAGTTTCTTTTGACAGACTTGAAGTAGGGGAAGGTTAAAAGTCTTTCTTAGAGTCAGTCTGATAAGACCAATCAGAAAAACTTCAGAAAAATATGATTTGTTTATAAATGAAACTTTTAGAAACAAAATTCTGTTAGAAAATACATGTTTATATTTTATATTACAATTCTTTGATGAAACCTAAAAACTTGATAAAAATGAATTTATAGTTCAAGAATCTTTAAGACTTCTCTTCTTGAGTCCGGGTCTTGCTGTGGTGCCTCAATTGGCCTCAGTTTTGCAGCATTTTTGCTCTGGTCCCAAGTCTGGGGACTGCAGACATGTGCCACTACATTTGGGATGTTTCTTACTGGAGAAAACATTATTAAATGTTGCCCAGTCATTAGTTACTTCTAATCTCATCTATTGAGTAATGGTTTTATTGTTACTGTTTTTGTTGGTTTTGGTGTGTATTTATTTGTTTTTACATCCAGACTGTATTAATAATTGTTTTTTTTAGTTGCTCTTTCATGTTTAAAATTATTAACAATATGTTATTTATTTGTTCTTTTGCTACTCCCTAACTGATTATATGAATGCTTAGTTTTTTCCTTTATAATGTAGGCACTATTTTTTCATAATCTGTTCAAAAACTTAGTTACAAACTTAGCTCTTTGTGTTGTGTCGTTCTCTTCATTTTTTTTATTGATTTGTTCCTGTCTGTTCTGTTTGTGCTTCAAGTACATATATTCTAGATTAATGATTGTTTTCCAGAGTATATTGTTTTTTAATATTTTGCCTTTTTATTTTGTAACATGTTTGTTCATGTGTGTCAGTTTGCACATGTCCACAGCTTGTATGTGGAGATCAAAGGACAACTTGTGGGAGTTTATCCCTTCTACAGGTCTTGTGGATCAAGCTTAGGTTGTCAGGCTTGACATCAAATATCTTTCCATACTTAGCCATCTTGCCTGCCCCTTTTTATGTTTTCTATTTAATTATCATTTGCTTCTGCAATATACTGCCTTGTTCTGTATTTCTTTGTATTTTTCAAATTTTTTTCTTATAGTATTTTGATATGATTTAGTTACAATAGTTGATGTAGGCAATTGGCTACTAATTTGTAGTTTAATCCTCAAGTTTGCTTAACAATTTACTTTTTTCATGCTGGGTGATGCCGGCGCATACCTTTAATCTCCTTTCTTCATGCTGGGTGGTGGCCGTGCGTACACACATTTAGTGTCAGTGTGTGGGAGGCAGAGACAGGCAGATCTTTGTGAATTCAAGGTCAGCCTGATCTACAGAACAAGTTCCATGATAGCCAAATTTACACATAGAAAACCCTGTTTAAAAAAAAAAAAAACCCACAACAAACTAAAATTCATCTGTAAATTAGCTTGGTTCAGAATCTAACAGGTTTTTGATACTAATAACATCTGTCACTCTGACTGGCATCTTCTAGACATTGTGGATGAAAGGAAGACTTGAGTGAGCCTGAGATTGATGTGCAGTTCATATGCCTCTGAATTTAATCTGTGCTACAGAATGAGTAAATCATAGAAATATTTAGTAATTGTAGCACGTTAATAGTAGTATACAGCATTTTGGGATTAACATGAAGAAATGCCATGAATGTAACCATCACTCATGATGTGTTAGAAGAAAGCTAAGAATGGCAAATGTAGGTATTAATAAAGCATGTTACATTATACTGAAACCTTTAATTTTTTTTTTTTAAACAGGGAATTGCTTTTAAATGACAATTATTTACGGGTTTTGCCTTATGAACTTGGCCGGCTCTTCCAGCTACAAACTCTAGGTTTAACAGGTGAGTGACTTACAAAGAAGAAAATGTTAATACTTGTATTGAAGTATTATAATGTTTTAAAAAATGGTTTTGTTAAAGTATAGGTCAGTTTTGGTATGACTTTGAGATTGTGAGGAGGAATATATGAAGGCATTAGAAATGTAGTGGTTGAGACATTTTATTCTCCTGTCTATTCTTCCTCCCCACTTCGCCCATCCCTCCCCATTTCTCTTCCCTGTTTTGGTGGTAATGTTTTCTACTCTGTAACACAAGCTAGCCTTGAGTTCTCCATATTCACTCTGTATCAGCCCACCCCAAATACTGTAATTACAGATGTGAGCCATCACTTCCAGCTTCATTTTGTTTTCTCTTTGTTAAATCTTACATAGTTAAAACAGTCATTTAGCTAGAAGTAGGATGAAGGGGCAGGCCTATGCCTCTTGATTGAAAACTTACGGAATGTTTATCATTTTTATAAGCTTAGATTCATTAAGAAATTAATACTTTTTACCCCATTTATAATTGTCTTTAATAAGAATAATTCTTATGTTGTTTAGAACATTCAGAACAGCTAATTTTCTACATTCTGATATAATTGATAGAGAGCCCATTAGTGAAAATTAGCAATATAAAATTGAATTTAACAGGCTTAACCTTTGAACCAAACAACATTCTTGAAATAGCAAATGTAAGTGTTGAATACTTTAATATGACTGTTTTTATATTACCTTACATATCCCCAAAAGTTTGTTATATTACCAAGTGAATGGATTACTCTAAATATTTGTTAATTTTACTGTTGTTTATTTTATTAAAGTGTTAAGTCTTAAAGCTAGTGTTTCTAGGGCTGAGTATATAACTCAGTGGTGAAGTGCTTACCTGCTATGTACAAAGACCTGGGTTTGATTTTAAGCAACACCAAATGCAAAACAAAAAACGAAAGTTATTACTGTTTGGCTAGTCTTCATTGTAGTGGCATATTTTTCTGCTAACACAAGTTCATTAACATCCCTTCTCTGATTAAAGATCAGGGTTGTCAGACTACATAAAAGAAAAATAATATGGAACTTTGTGCCATTTACAGGAAATAAGAACTTGAGTTAATATATTAAAAAAACTTAATATATCTAATCTGTTAGTTGTTAGCTATTCTTCACCAACTAACTATAACTTAGCTTTATTCTTGCCTATGAAGACATCCTTTGTACTAAACTACAGTTAATTCTGTTGCAAACTGAGTGCAATAGTGTTTGTTTTTCTTTTCTTTTGAGTTTTCTGTATTTATGAATGTGTAACAAGGTATTTTGAGGATATAATTCATTCATGTTTTTGTATACTATGTACATAGCCTGTCAGTAACTATATGGTAAATCATTCTACTTTCTTGTCCGTCCCCCCCTCTTTTTTTGAGATACCTTGTTGTGTAGCTAGGACTGACATCTCCAACTCTCAAGTGCTAGGATTTTAGAGATGTGCCATCATGCCCAGCTGCATTTCTGGATTCTCATTTTCAGTAGGAATGTTCAAACTGTCCTCAGTAGTTTTCTCCTTTTTGAGGATCTGTGTAATTTTCATTCCATTTTATTTTCTGTTCAAGTGATTATATACAGAAGGGCAAAAAGCTTTTAGGAAAGAAATCAAGCTAGAGCTTTTCCTGCCTGTTAAAACTTTTTTCCTTAAGTGATTGAAGGAATGAAATGTCCTTAACAAATGGTAGCTTTATATATACAGGAACATAACTTTCTAAATAATTCTTGAGTCAGTTTTGAACGATTTTGAAGTATTTTACATAGAATGAAAGAAAGAAAAGTGAACAAAGCATTTAACATGGCACTGTGAAGCTCAAAAGATACAGTGTAAATGAGCAGCTCTGGGATTGCAGCCTGAATATCTTTATTTCTTTTTTTTCTTTGAAATCATAGTTACTGAAGTTTTAATAATGATTAATATTGTCTTGGTCTAACAAACTCATTTTTAAAAATTACATTTTGATATCTGAGGACAGTGTCTGGAGAATAAGTTATTTGAAAAACAAAAATGACCATTTTTTTTTATTGACTTTACTTTTTTTTCACACAGTATAGTTTTATCATAGTCTTCTCCCCCAAGCCCTCCCAGATCCTACTTAGTGCCCTACAACTGTAGGTATGGCCAAGATAGTAAATTGGAAATGTTTCCCATAAGTCACTTAAAAGTCCCAATATTGCCATAGAAAATGGCTCAGTAGTTAAGAGCAGCTCTTCCAAAAGGACCAGAGCTTGGTCCCCAGAACCCATATTTGGTGCCTGTAACTCCAGATTCAGGTTGTCAAGCCCTCGCATGCATGTGCACATTCACTCACACAGATACTCCCACCCCCAACACACACACATGATTAGAAAACAAAATTTTTAAATTGTCTTTAATTTTTATTTCTAATTAATTTATTTAATTTTATGGAGAGGCATTTTCCTAGTGGAGTTTTGTTGTTGTTTGAAAAACAATGAATGCATTTAGATTCTAGAAGTTTTATTTCTTTTGGTTTTTCAAGACAGAGTTTCTCTGTGTAGCCCTAACTGTCCTGGAACCCACTCTGTAGACCAGGCAAGCCTCGAACTCACGGAGATCCCTCTGCCTCTGCCTCCTGAGTGCTGAGATTAAAGGTATGTGCCATCACGGCACTGTTTTAGAAGTTTCATTCTAAACTTTTCTATTTCAGCTGTAGTGGCACACTCCTTTTAATCCAGCACTCAGGAGGCAGGCAGGTCTCTGTTGAGGCAGAGATACTCACTAGCTACTTTTTTGTTTGCCCACTTTTTCAAGGGTAGTGGCTGGCATAATGCAATTGAGTAATTCTGGCTAAGGTTCAGTATGTTTCCAGCAAGTAGCAAATACTGTAGCAAGCTTCATAAAGCTAGTTATGCTTTGCCTGGAAAATAGTTACATGGTAGTTACACTGTGGTTGCCTTGACCTATTTAGTTGATCACAAGAGTAGCCACAGAAACTTCCTAGTAGAAACCGATAAAGCTCTAGATAATGGTGTGCACTACACAAGCATAGGACCTGTCTCCCAAAAACACTTTGTAAAGATTTTTTTTTCCTGTACTTTTGAGAAGAAAGTTGACCTTGTTCTTTTCATTATTCTTAACAAGGATATGATGGTTTATATCTTTAATCTACCAGTACTTTTGAGAGGTATGATGTCTCAGTTCTAAGCCAGCCTGGTCTAGATAGCAAGTTCCAGGCCAGTAAGGGATATATAGATTCTATTTCATAAAAACAACAGCAGCAGCAGCAACAACAAATAAACTAAAGAACAGCAAAGGAAAAACAAAAACCATTGGGCAAATTCATATCAATTGGAATATGATGAGTGAATTTGTTCCTTGAAAAAGTTTAGTAGGATATTTCTGTAAAACTATCATTACTTGTGTATGTTCCTTTGGAAAATACTTTCTCAATAAAAAATATATTTAGAGTTATAAGATTGATTATTGGGAATTAAATATGTAATCATGTGTATTTGTGTGTGCCTGTGTGTAAGTTGATGCTTGTGAGTGTAATGTCCAGGGGAGCCAGAAAACATACCGGATCCTCTGGACTGGGAGTCACTGGTGGTTGTGAATGGGGCCCATTTTGGGTGCTAGGTCCTCTGCAAGAGCAGTATATGCTCTTAACAGCTGAGTCATCTCTCCAGCATTATGATTGAGAATTTCTAATAGTTAATGATTGAGTTGTGCTAGGCTGTACCAGTGCTAAAATGGAACCAAACAACTTGAACTTCAAATTTTCCGGCCTTGTCCATTGCAGTTGGTTATTTAACAGTGTACTACCACATCCAGCTAATTTTTTTTAAATTTACTTGCCTATTGAATAAAAAGAGAAAAAGGAGAAAAAGTGTACTTATTAAAAGTGTCTATAATATTGATATATTTTTAAAGTCTACTTGTGTCTATATTACCTGCCATTTTAAGCCATTTTTGAGTTTTTCTCTATCTTAAATTATTCTCAGATAAATGTTTATGGCTATATATTGTCTTATTGTTTTGTCTTGTGTTGCATATTGTATCTATAATTGGAAATACTTTTTTTTCTTTTGTGAAATAGTGTCTATTGCTGTCAGCAGACCTGCTCCAAATATCTTGGCTCAAGGGACAAGTCTGTCTAGATAGTAATCCCTTATTAGATTAATAGTTTGTAAATCTTTTGTAGGCTGCCTCTTTACTGTATTGATTGTTTTTATAAAGATGTAGTCCATTTTTTTGTATTTGAAGTCACATACCAAAAATCTTTACCTGTATTAGTGTCCCAAAGCAATTATCCTATATTTTCTTATATGATCATAGTTTTGTATGGTAAATTATTTATCCATTTTGAATTGATTTTTCTGACTAGTGAAAGAGGTCTAATCTCATTTTGAGTCAATTTTGTTGCTTGCTATCAGTTTATTACACATGGCTTTTATGTGTTTAGGGTTTTTTTTTTTGCATATAGTAATTCATAATGGTTCCCAATGATCATTGGTATTTATGTGGTATCACTTTTTTTTTTTTCGAGACAGGGTTTCTCCGTAGCTTTTGGTTCCTGTCCTGGAACTAGCTCTTGTAGACCAGGCTGGCCTCAAACTCATAGAGATCCGCCTGCTTCTGCCTCCCGATGTGGTATCACTTATAATAGCACCTTTTTCATCTCTTTTCATTTATTGAGATTTTCTATTTTCTTTAGTTCACATGAGATTTTATTTATATTTTAAAGTATTTTATTTGTGAATCTTTTTTACTATTTTTACATTCTTTTTTAAAATTATCTTTATTTCTTTCAACCTTCTAAGTTTAAGTTCTGCTTTTTTCTGGTTCATCAATAGGTTGAAGTTTTTGGAACTAGAAGGTTTGGGTTACATGTTCTTTAATTTTTGTGTATTCATATAATTCCTGTAGTTCTTCCCTAAAGAAATTCATGACAATTTGAGAGAATGTCAGAGAAAGCATACAATTTTGTATTTTTCAAATTTGTTGAAAAGTGTTTTTGCCCTAATATATTA